GATGACTTTTGATGATGTTTGATGGTTTTGACGAACTTTTAAGAAACTCATGATTTTAGTAACCCGACGATTTTATTAAATTAAAATAACGGTTTTCAAGTTAAGTCACGATTATTAAGGGTAGCACCCCGAATCAGATTTCGCAAAGTAAAAAGGTTTTATTTTAAATAACTTTGCGAAATTTGCGCTACTCTGATTTAACAATAAGGAGGGGTGTTACAATTGGTATCAGAGCACGATTTCTGCGTCTCTGATAAGTTTTTCAGTCAGAAATTTTTTAGAAAAACCTGAACCGTCATGCTCACGCCCAGCCGACGACAGGTAAGTGCTGATGCAGTTTTTTTTTTCAGTTATAAACATATTACTTTGTCTATGCTCAGAATTGAGGATCAGGACTTTAGTTAAGATGCTCAAATAAGGTTCAGACTTTATAGTTCGGACATGAATCTAGAATTCAGGTATTCAGATATGACTCTAGACATTAGGATTTTCCTATATGACTCTAGAGTTCTTCAGGTTTCACGTCAGTACTTATCGGCCATTTTTGGCAACTCGTCAAGAGATCTGTGTGCCTTAGTAATCAGTCAGTAATGTTTTCACGTATTCAGTAATATTAAATTTTCTCAATGTTCAGATGCCGCCACGTAGGGAACCCGATCATCAGGCTCCTACTCAGGCTATGGTAGTCGCTCAGTTCCGCTGCTATCACGCCGAAAAGTTCTCAGGGCAGGGAGACCCCCGCATCGTTGATGAATGGATTCAGGGGTTGGAGTTCATCTTTGAGGTTATGGAATGCCCCGATAGGTATCGCGTAGTTTGCGCTCAGCTTCAGCTCACTGGTGATGCAAGGCTCTGGTGGAACGCCTACTGGAGCATGCGTCCCGGTGAAAAGGCGGGTTGTACATGGGACACGTTCAAGGAGTTAGTCCGCGACAAGTACTACCCTTCCTACTATCGGGCAGAGATGGAGCGCCAGTTCTTAGCGCTTCAGCAGGGTACTCGTACTGTCGATGAGTACAAGCGAGAGTTCACTAGACT